TTATATTATATTATATTATATTATATTATATTATATTATATTATATTATATTATATTATATTATATTATATTATATTATATTATATTATATTATATTATATTATATTATATTATATTATATTATATTATATTATATTATATTATATTATATTATATTATATTATATTATATTATATTATATTATATTATTATGTTTGTATTTGGTGAATATTTTTATCACAGATTGGTTGCTTCAGTAGAAAAAATAGAAATGTGACTTATACAGAAGATAGATTCAGGTGCGTCACTGGTATAAATGTTCCCTTTATTGTATATGTAATGAATGTTTATGGTCACATGCATGTTTATTGCACATTGCAGGGAAATTTCCTTTAAGAAAGGTGATGCTGTCAACATCATCAGACAGATTGACAGTAACTGGTATGAGGGGGAACACAGAGGACGGATTGGGATTTTCCCCATCTCTTATGTTGAGGTAAATTTTAAATAACCTATTTTATTGAACTATATGCTTAATCACATTCCCTCTTGCTTTCTCACTATTTCTCTCATTTTCTCCTTCAGAAGGTGGCGTCTCCAGAGCGGAGGCAGCCTGTCAGGCCTCCTCCTCCGGCTCAAGTTCAAGAGATGGGAGAGGCAATAGCACGATACAACTTCAATGCTGACACTAACGTGGAGCTTTCTCTTAGAAAGGCAAGTGTAAAGCCCTATATCACACCCTACCATCTTTCAGTCTTCCCACCATGAATTGCATATTTTGCTGTTGTAGGGGGAGCGAGTGATCCTTCTAAGGAAGGTGGATCAGAATTGGTATGAAGGAAAGATTCCTGGTTCGAACAAGCAGGGCATTTTCCCAGTGTCCTATGTCGATGTGATCAAGGGCTCTCCTTCCAAGAGCCCCAGTCACCAAGGAGACACGCACACATACAGGGCACATAAGGTAAGTCTTTAGCACCAGTTTTGGACCGTCCACAAAGTTTTTGTCACATCCACAAAGTCTGTCCTATACGTCCAATAAGTTCATAAACCAGTCTCCCTGCTTTCTTTTTCCTTTGCTCAAGCACTATACAGAGTCCTCCCATTTGCAGTGTCTTGATTCTGCCACTAAGACACACCTTCAAACGGTCACTAGTGAATGGCTGTCTCTCACATTGGGTGCCTCCACCACTTACCCATCTTCCTGTGGCAGTTCAGTCCCACCCACCCCTCCTCCATTACCCAGCAATCTACACCACACTGGCCCCCAGTCCCCTGCTCCACTTGTGCGAAGGTTCACCGCACCAATAAACCTTTCCTCAGAATGCTCCCCTTTTCCTAGCCAAGGACCAATCACTTCAGAGTCTTCAAATATTTTGCTTTATTCCCATGAACGTCTCTACAGAGATAAACTGAGAGCAATAGATGTACCAGAAACATTCGGTTTACCAGTCAAACGGATTACAGACCATAATCAAGCTCTGTTAAGAATGGAAAGAAAGGGGCATGATGGTAAAAAGTTCTTAGAAGATATGTATTTAAAGGAGCAAAGCTTGAAACAAAACTATGACCCATCCAGGCTAATAAATGAACCTGATCCATATGGCGAACTTATGTCGATGTTTCTGAAAAATCAACTCTATGATGAACTTGAATTCCGATTGGCCAGTCGATCAAAAAACATGGCTAATCGAGAAGTATTACCTGAGAAGCCACTGTCCATCAGTGCAAGCCACAAATCAGAAAATATACTGGATAAACATCATGATATCTATGAGAAAAAGGCTGAGAAGCTGTTGTCAGTCATTTTGAATGAGAAAACAGAGATTTACAGTCCAGTAGCTGCGATAAAATGGGAGAAACTTCCTGAGTTGTACATAAATGAAGAGGATGATGAAACAAACAACAGATCAGGCTTGGAGACTGTTTCAAAAAAAGAGGTAGAACATGCAGTGTGACAAAAGCATGATAGCCTGGTGGTGTGAAAACTCTTATAACCTTAAGTTTAATGATAATTTTTTTAATTCTGAAAACTTTCAAAAACAAATTTACACAAACCATTATTTGCATGTTCATTGACTAAATTAAAGGGGCCATATTAAACATGTTTTTTTTTCTCTTTAAATTCCACATATGTATGCCCACTCCATGATTATAACGTTCTGTTATATTATAAGCATATGCTGCAGTAATTGTTGTCTGCTGCTTTAAAGGCTCAAGCACTTTAAAGATGGATTCTTATTGGCTGTCAATGTTTTTAAAGAAAATTATTTAATCTATATTGTTCTTCTGCTGTTATTCTTATAGCTGTGGTGTTGACTTCCCTATTCTTACAGAATTAGAAGGATTATTTTAACCTTAGTTATTGTTAAAGTTATTGTCCTGAACAGACTTGTAAATTATATAAGAAACAATGGCTCCCTTTCAGTCGGTCAGTCTCAACGTCACGTCGGATGACCAACGAAATTGGGATCTCGCTTAGAGGGACCAATCTACTTTGAGTGTAAACTAAACGAGCCAATGCACATTGGCATGCGATTATTGCATCCAGCTGCTGCTGATCACAGCGTGAGTATAAGTAGGCAGCAGATGCGGCGCATATTCAGCTTTTCGCTTCGGAGCCGAGCGATCACATCGTTCTGCTCCTGACTACTCTACTGAGAGAAGAAGACTGAACGAGTTCAACGCGCTCTTGGAGAGCTCTTCGTGTTGGCGGACGGCGCTTCAGTAGTGGTGGTTTCCCGTGTCGAGTGGGTTGCACACATTAGTCTGCACTACCCCCTGTTCGTGTTGCAGATGATCATCTCCCCTGTGTGCCTCAGCACGCTAAAAGAGCTTTTTCCCCTAAAAGAGCAAATTCGGGTGCGTCTTTCTAAAGACGACGTTGCTTAGCAAACTTGACGTTACGTCTTTTGATGATTGCAAGTGCACCAGGCCAAGGCACTGAGGCACTTGCACGAGGGTGGTCACGACCCGGAAGTTCGCAGAGAACTCCGCACCGCGGCGGACCTCGCGCCACGAGTGACGAAGGTTACGGCGCAGTCTCTGGGTCGTGCGATGTCCACTATGGTGGTCCGGGAGCGCCATTTCTGGCTGTGACTGGCTGACATGCGCGAGACGGACAAGACACGATTCTTGAACGCCCCCGCGTCCCAGGCTGGCCTTTCGGGTGACACGGTGGAGAGCTTGCCCAGCGGTTCTCCGCTGACCAAAGCAGACTGAGGCCATCAGGGGCATCCCTGCCATTTCCAAGAGGGTTACATTCACCTCCATTCTTCCATATGCACCTAAGGAATGTCCATATGTGTATTGCTTCCAAAACCTCCTTCGGGAAGGTTGGAGCTTCCGTAACGTCCCTGTTCCAACATCATGTCCCGTCGCCACAGCTCCTGTACCACCGCTGAGCGGCCGGGTCACCGGCTCGGCTCCTCAGCGAAAACCTGAATATGCGCTGCATCTGCTGCCTACTTATACTCACGCTGTGATCAGCAGCAGCTGGATGCAATAATCGCATGCCAATGTGCATTGGCTCGTTTAGTTTACACTTGAAGTAGATTGGTCCCTCTAAGCGAGATCCCAATTTCGTCGGTCATCCGACGTGACGTCTCCGTTCCCTCCTTCAGGGAACGAGGGTTACCATACATAACCGAGACGTTACTTTTGGGTTGCAGGTTTTAAGCAGGGTCCAGTATAGCTTGGAAAGGTTTACGAAAAGTTGTCTAGATCACAATTTTGCTTAAAAAAAGAATAGGGGGAAAAAGGTCTACTATTAGGAAACAATATTTACAGATTTTATATTTATTTTCATGGCAATAGAGCTTATTTTACCCCTCAATTTATCTTTGTCACAGTGTTTAATAGAGTCTCATTCTCATTATTGTAAAAAAAACAACAACAAAAAACAGGTGTTGATATGTAAACTGATGGTTACGTGGTAAAGATTTCTGAACAGATATATATAGTCAGCCTCAATCCTATTTCAAAAGATCAAGGAAAATCCTGTTTACTATGATATGGCCCCTTTAATAGTCTTTGTCACACTAGTCGTGTGTATAACTTTGACAATCTAGTTCAAAGTTGTGAAAGTTGTAGTTGAACAGCTCTGTCTTTCTCTTTGCCAGGCTGACTCCACCTCCAACACTCCATCTCTGTCATTCTCCACCTCCCCTATGCCTAATTCCTCCCTTACTCTCTCTTCCATTAGTTTTTCTCCACCACACATTGAATCATCTGCCTCTGCTGTTCACTATTCTCCACTGTCTTCTTCCAAAGTTTCTCCATGTCCTCCTCCTCCTTCTATTCCTCTTGCTTCATCTCTTCCTTTGGTTCCCTATTCCTCCTCTGTCCTCCAAACCTCAGTTGTTTCTTCTCCTTCAGACTCTCCTCTCCCTCCATTATCTCTCTCCACTCCTCCTCCTTCACCTCCTCTGTCTCCTCCAAACTCCCCAATCCCTCTTCCTCCACCTCCTTCATCGACTCTCAATATTCCTACTCCTTTGCTTTCTTCTTTCCTTTCTAACTATCAATCATCTCCTTCTCCACCTCCCTCATTTCTGCAACCCCTTCTTCCTTCTGTCCTCTCTCAGCTTTCCTCTCCTACTTCCACTCCTATTCTCTCAAATATCCCTTCCTCCCACTCTCCTTCTCCTTCCTCCTCTCCTCATCTCTCCCCAATCCCTCCATCTCCTCCTTCATCTCCTATTCCTTCTTTGCATCCTCCTCTTTATTCCTCCTGCCAGCCTCTTCTACCAACTATTCTGGCCTCTCCACCCTCCACTCCCTCTCCTCCTCCATCTTCTTCAGACCACATCCCATCTCCTCCCAGCTCTCCTTCACTCCTCACCTCTCCTCCTCCCTCCTCTGTGCCTGTAGTCTCCACTCAGCCCTCTATTCCTCCTCTCTCCCCACGTTCACAGCCTCGTTCTCCTAAGATTATGGTAAAAAAAAGAATGAACAAAACAATGTATTCAGGGCTGCTGTGTGGTGCATGTGATGTACAACCTGTAATGTTTTCAACATTAAACAAACATTAAAAGTAAGATCATATGAGAAACCTTGAACCCTCAGGGAAAAAACAAAAAAAGGCTTGTATTGCAGTAGAAGTATTAATTTGACACAATGACAAGGGTTTTAAGTAAGGTCTTAAAGGGCTAGTTGACCCCAAAATTAAAATTTATGCATCCTCATATTGTTCCAAACCACCAATAGAAATATCAAGCTGCCACGCTGTTCCTGATGAGCAGAGCCAAGCTGCGACATATGAACCTCTTTTATGGTGCATTTATGGTATTTTATGTTGCCATGCAAAATATATCCATACAATGTCGATTATCAATTGATTGATTTATTTATCTTTATTGACTGAAATTGGATATTTAATTGTGCATACTGAATTTAGGGCTGCCCCCTAATAGTCGACTAATCGTTAGTCGACCAGAAGAGGCTTGGTTGACCAAAATGTCATTAGTCGCTTAATCGCAGAAAAAAAAATCCACATTAGTGAAGTCACGCAGTTTGTGACGGACAGATCGTTAACAGCTAGTCTATGGTAATACAGTACATCAGGCAGGACATCCAAACGCTCGCCTATCATTCATCGACCTCAAATATGGCTTATCATCTGAAATATGTATTAGCAACTTTACATGGCCACTCAATCTACTGTTAACCTTGAAAAATGTGTGCTGTTGAAGTGTCTGTGCAGAGCGTGGAAGATGAACAGTAGCGCTCACTGCAGGACAGATGGAGGTGCCGGTGCATCACTTGCTCTTAAAATACTCCCTCATTTTTGGGCATACAGATAAGAGTAATCAATCTTTCAAATCTGTAAAGACTCTACGTTTATTTTTGTGCACTCACAATAACAACAAAATAATGTATATAAAATAACTTTTGTAAAATAATTAAAGCAAACAGGATGCGCTTTCTGCCGCCTCGGTCTCTGTGAACTTGAGCGTGAAACTCCGTGTATAAATGAAGTATATCTATAGAGAGTAAAATGTCTACTTTCAAATGAACCAATTCAAATGGAAACAAATATTCTCAGATTATGTATTCTGTGTGAAACGTATACAGGCGTATCACTACTGCGGAGAGGACGAATCAGTGTTGCCGACTTCATCTCTTAAGCCGAACACAAAGAAAGCACTAGTTTATCAAATTATTGAAATGTTAATGCAGTCTCTTTACTGTTTTTCCCTGACACATTCATAATCATTACTTCTGCGGTGAGCAATGGCAAGCTTTATGCGTTTGCTTGAGCACTTATTAGGCTATGTAGGCAATTAAAGGCTCATTATAATTATTTAAATGGTTTATTACAGTTTTTCTGAATTGCTAAAACACATTTATTGAAACCACCACTCATTTTCTCAAAACCTTAAACACAAATCCGAATACTCAAACTAAATTCACGAAACCTCTGACTCTTCCATCAAAATCAAACAATCGCTGCAAAACCATTTCACTTGCACTCAAAATCAAACGGTGCTCTCAGATCGCACACACATGAGTCAATAAAATAAACACTACAGAGCATTCATTAGACACTACAGAAAAAAATGGAGAACACAGCATCCAGAACATTACAGAAAAAAATATATTGTATTGAGTAAACATTTTTGCAATTCTGTAAAAAAGTATAGTAATTGCAACTGAGCAAGGTGATTATATTGTATGTACTGCAAGAATAGTATTGTGCTGAATATTGAATAATACTGAATGTTTGTATTGTATATATACAGCACTTGGATACTGCAAAAATACTGCAGTCCAACTGCAAAGGCCAAATAGGTCAAATAAAACTCTAAATGAATAGCATGTTACAGTACACTCAAATACTGTAAATTGTGCAGTTGTAAAATCACGATCAGTGAGAGATTCATTCTGTCTTAGCATCACGTCTTTGTGCTTGAGTCCGGCCTGAGGACTTTGTCCACATCACATGTAATGTTGTCTTTTTTGACAAAGAGAAAAAACCCTCTGGTCTGACAGATCCAGCCTTGATAACACTCTCTAAACCTTAAACCTATAGATTGTTTCCATCTATTGTTCATATCATAATTCAGTCACCTGTGCCACTTGTGCACTCTGAACTGGCTCATATTTTGTACAGTTGGTTTGATCACATCATTAGAAACAAGTGTGAACAATTTTGAATCGTTGTGTGTAAATGATGACAACTGTGCTTTAGTTGAGTTTAACTTTTGCCACTTGTGTTTAGCATTTTGCAGCAGAAATGCATCACAGTGTGATAAGTGTTTAAGTGAATGAGAATGTGTTTAGAGTTTTGCAAAAAGAGTGCATGAGATTTGCAAATAGAGCCTAACTGCCTGAACGTGTTTAAGGTTTAGCAGAAAGAGTGCTTTATTCGACAATTTGGTTTAAGCTAGTGATAATTTGGTTCAGAGATTGGGGTTTAGTGTTTTAGCAATTCAGAAAAACTGTAACAAACGTGCCATTAGTCGACTAATGCTTCAAATGAACGACTACTAGTCGGACCAGAAAAATCCTTAGTCGAGGGCAGCCCAAGAATTTAGAAAAATAATTTTGATGGCTAAATTCACTTGCAGCATTTAAAATGATTGTTTCATTCATGTTTATTTTTGATAAATTGATACAAAACAGTAAATAATTTTAAGATTAGCAATTTATTGGTAATCAGTCATAACATACAGTGACGTAATTACTGATTTATTTATTTTTTTTACTAAGTGACTGATTTTTCGGTATCAGACAGGATTTTAATATCTGTGCATCCTTGCTTTTCTGTCCCTATTAGATCTTAACAGCTAGTGGTTACTATGAATTTTTATTGCAAGATATATGAGTTTTTATATTCCTCATTCCATTATTTTAAATATGGCATGTATTAATAGTGTGAGTGAGAAGGGTGCGTTTTTATATGTATAACTATGTCTGTTATTTGCCCAAATTTGGACTGAAGTTATCATATCCCTAATAATTCAAGACTCTGGAATGACTAAACTAAAATCAAATTAACATTGGTATTGAGATTAAGACTGAGAATGAGGTTGTAAATAACACTGAGATGGATTTTGTATGAGCGTGCTGATCTCTGATTGGTTGCCTTGAATTTGATTCTTGCAGACAGTATATAGGCAGGAAGTGGTGGTTGAGGGTAAACCACCCCGTAGCCCCATTTCCACCAGGAGGCGCTGTGTATCTCCCTGTTTATCACCCAGTAGAGCAAGAAGGGTAGGATGGAGTGTGCTGTGACACTAGCAGCAGTGCAGACTGGCAAATTAAGTCCTTTCTAATCCCTTTTATAGTTCTCTGGTCGCATCATGGGTGGATTTCTTCTTTGTGTGTATTGTAACACAACAGGTCTTCTCTAAGCTCTGTGATGACGATGAAGACTCACAGAATGACATCCTGTGCCTGGATTTGGCATGTTATTCTGACACCTTAAAGTCTTATATGCACACCATACTGACACTTTCCTCTCTCTTTCTCTCAGAAAATTACGCAGGATTCTCAGCATTCAGGTGGTGACCCGTAAGTACACTTTTCAATTTTCCAGATACTTTTCACTTTTCATTGTATTTATTCACTGTCGGAACATAAACAGCACATTTAAAAAAGTATATTATTTTAATTTCACTTAAGCTTCCAAGCTGTGTACAACTATGTGTCTCGTAATGGGGATGAGCTGGAGCTGAAGGAGGGGGACGTTATTGATGTTATCGAGAAATGTGATGATGGCTGGTTTGTGGGTAAGTTTTTGTAGTTATTACAGCACCTCTGCAAATGGTATATACTTTTTTATTAATGAGACTACTCAATATGACTTATTAAATGAAATATGTGTACACTACAATTAAAATATTGGGCGTCAGTAAGATTTTTTAAAATAAATTAATACTGTTATTTAGCAAGGATGCATAAAATTGATAAAACTGTAAAAACTGATTTTAAAAAAAAGACTTTTATATTGTTACAAAACATATATTTCAAATAAATACTGTGCTTTTGAACTTTATATATTCATCAAAGAATCCTGTTTTTTTTTTTTAATGTTTCATGGTTTCCACTGAAGTATTAAGCAGCACAACTGTTGTCAACATTGATCATAATAATAAGTACTTGAGAACCAAATCAACATATTACTATGAAGTAGGATCATGTGACAATGAAGACTGGAGTAATGGCTTCTAAAACTTCGGCTTTGCCATCACAGGAATAAATTACATTTTAAAATATATTGAAATATAATAAAGGGCTAATTGAATAGAAATAACAGCTATTTTGAATTGTAGTAATTTTTCACAATATTACTAATTTTACTGTAGTTTTGATCAAATAAATGCTGCTTTGGTGAGTAAGTAATACAAGTGCATATAAGTGTTCTTAAATGATGCATGATAATGCAATTTGAACTTTAACTATTCAATAATGTTATTGACCAATCAGAGTCAAGTATCCCAAAGTGCCATGTAATTATAATAATGTACATTGTACATTGTTATCATGTTTTATGCATTATACACTGTAATCATGCTTTGCTGATAGTCCCTTTTTTACAGGTACTTCTCGGAGAACCAGGTTATTTGGAACGTTCCCAGGAAACTATGTTAAACCGCTTTAACAAAAAGGAAAAAATGGCACAAATATGGCCACTCAAGTGCCTACTGTGTAGGGCCAACAAGGCACTTCACCTTTGAGAAAGTGTGTGTGTCCATATGTGTGAGTGTGTTCACAACCACAACCGTTTTAGCTCTGTCATGTCCACACAGACAAACCACTGAAGTTTATTTCACTTTGAGCTCTTTGTTTTTGTGCCATCACAGAGTCTCCTTGCTGTTCCTTCATCTGCTATTCTGACAACAGCACATTCATTAATGTTTTTCCTGTTATATTGACATTTAGTTATTTTCCAGGATGCACTAGCTCAGTGTTAGTATGGTGAGGATTCAGGCAGTAGATCAGTATAAATGGTAGACACATGGAAAAGTGTGTCTGAGAAGAAACCTCAGGCATCAGTGTTCAACTGAGTGTGTGTATGTGTGTATTAAACAATACAAAGTTAATAGCAATAGAGACCACTGGTTATCGATGAGGATGGATAGTTTTATTAAAATGAGCTAAAGGTGAAATCATGGACAGTTATGAAATTGCTCATTCCCCGTGTGGCCAAAATAAATATGTGATAAGAACAGATGTGTTTAAATTTGTATAGGTAACAATACTTTAGCCATACAGAATTACAAAATAACTGTCATGGAGCAATTTTGCTATTGTTGAAGTGGCAATCATTCATATAGGATAATGTTCATATAATAATCAGTGCATTGTGGGTATTTGTATAAGTTGTCTTCAAAAGAAAGTGCATTGATATTCTGGAAAGTAAAGATGCTTTTATGGAATTTGGTAACAAATATTTGATTAGTGAACTTTTTTCCAATGTTTACTTGCGGATTTTATGAATGGACTGAGTTTTAGAATTGTAAAGCAGGTGTCATTGAACCACCTGACGTTAATACAGTAAAAAAAAAAACACAAGTAAATCAAGATTAAATCATGGCTTGTTTTAGTAATGAATTGCAACAATGTTACAACAACAAGGTGAGCCTGCTATGATGTTTAAATTTTTTATTTGTTAACCTAAATTAACTAATTTATCTAAAACGTTATCATTTCGATTTTTTTTGTTTGTTTGTTTTGAAAGTTTGATCTCTGATATAAAACTTAAATGATGTCATTTATCTGCCATGTTTCTCATGAGATTCACTCTTTTAAAATTGCATCATATAACGCAACAGAGAGAGCTGTTGGTCTTTGATAAATGTTTGTATGCTTGTCTGACGTTCAAAATGTTATGTTTATTTTTTCGAAGGATTTGTATATCAGTATTTTCTGCACTAAGTGTATCACTTGTTGTGTTCTCATCTGAAAGCATAACGCTTGTGTTGCATCGGCTTTTACAAGTATGTATATTCAGTATAAGGAAAAGTGTGTCTATGAATTTCACAGACAGCAGAGCAATCTTAAAGCACCTTAAACATTTATTAGTTCTATTATTTTTTCTTTAAAGTTGAAGTGTGTAAGAATGTGAGTAATAAAATATTGTCTCCTTTCGTAGCTTAATATGCAGGGACAACTAAGTAAACCATTCATTGGTTGAATAATTTATAGCTTTGTTAATTTGATTAACAATCAGTGGTTTGAGTTTGGGGAGGGGCTTTCTGTTTGCCTGACCAATGGCAGATGGGAAGTGTTTTGGAAACTAGTTTGAAAAAAGTTGCAATAATGTTTGATGACACAGAAATTACACACTTCCGCTTTAAATGTTTTAATCACACTTTGCATTTTCCAGCTTCACGGCTGTGTTTGCTGATTCTTAATATGTCCTTTTGTACACGAGTTTCACTTACATTATAAAGCCCTTCCTTTCTCACTTTTGGTTTCTTTCATCTGTTTAGTCCTTAATATTGCATCCCATGTGCCAAATTTATTCTTCAACTACTTTGGTGCAAAAAAGAAAGAAAATGTATGCAAAAAATAGGCAAAGAGCATTTTTTGGGGACTTATAAAGGACTTTCTTCAGCACAGGATGGAGACTGGTGCACACTCTAGTCAAATTGGAGTTGGGAGATTTTTGTCACTGTTTGCAAACTACTGTCCTCTACTAAAGACAGTGGATTTTTTGGAAGATATTTTTGCCTTTTTCCGTATAGCCTTTTGACTGAACAACATATAGTGTTATTTAATGTGTGTTCTTGATGAGCTGGTGAGCTTGAGAGAATCGAGTTTAACTGCTCACTTTCAAATAAAGACATTTCTCTCTCTCCCTTTCTTTCTTTCTTTCTTTCTTTCTTTCTTTCTTTCTTTCTTTCTTTCTTTCTCTATCTCTCTCTCTCTGTCTCTGGTCTTTTGTTTTGTTCTATATCCAATAAATTTGTGCTCAGTTATTTGAGCCTCTCTGTTTATCGTTGCCTCTGGTTCTGATATCTAAACACTGCGAGATTGTAATTTTTATATTCATTTCAAGTATTTTGCAACCTTTTTAGTTTTGTCTTTGCACCACAAAAAAAAAACCTGAAACAACAAAGCAATTGTTATTTGTAATAAAAACAACAGGCTTTCACAAAAAGATCATTTCACTATTTTACATTGAGTAGTTTTTACATGGCTTTCTTTCTTTCTTTCTTTCTTTCTTTCTTTCTCTATCTCTCTCTCTCTGTCTCTGGTCTTTTGTTTTGTTCTATATCCAATAAATTTGTGCTCAGTTATTTGAGCCTCTCTGTTTATCGTTGCCTCTGGTTCTGATATCTAAACACTGCGAGATTGTAATTTTTATATTCATTTCAAGTATTTTGCAACCTTTTTAGTTTTGTCTTTGCACCACAAAAAAAAAACCTGAAACAACAAAGCAATTGTTGTTGGCAAACTTAAGAAAATCATTTCACTAATGGACATTTAGTAGTTTTTACATGGCATTAAATGATAAAACTACAACATTTATTAGTATTGTAGTATTAATATTGTTTATGTTTGTTTGTAGTTTACATTCAGACTTCAGATTCTCTATGAGGTTCAGGTCTGGTGAGTTTGCTGGCCAGTCAAGTACACCAACACCATGGTCATTTAACCAACTTTTGGTGCTTTTGGCAGTGTGGGCAGGTGCCAACATTTATTAGTATTGTAGTATTAATATTGTTTATGTTTGTTTGTAGTTTACATTCAGTTAAATTTTTGTTTATGTTTTTGTAGTTACCAAGGCTGCATTTATTTGATAAAAATGCACCAAATACAGTTTTATATTGAATATACAGGTGCATCTCAATAAATTAGAATGTCGTGGAAAAGTTCATTTATTTCAGTAATTTTATTCCTATGATTCAAAGCTAAATTGTCAGCAGTCATTACTGCAGTCTTTAGTGTCACATTATCCTGAAGAAATCAGCTATTATGATTTGATATTTAAGAAATTATTATCAATATATTCTTCTTGTTGATTTTTTGGAAGATATTTTTGCCTTTTTCCGTATAGCCTTTTGACTGAACAACATATAGTGTTATTTAATGTGTGTTCTTGATGAGCTGGTGAGCTTGAGAGAATCGAGTTTAACTGCTCACTTTCAAATAAAGACATTTCTCTCTCTCCTAGATAGATAGATAGATAGATAGATAGATAGATAGATAGATAGATAGATAGTTAGATGACAACTTTTTGTTGGGTGGAAAAGAGCAGCTTGGACATTCTGGACATTTTCTTTCTACAATCTCTTCATTTAAACTGGAAAAAATGTGTAAACAAGGCTTGGCATGCTGACATTAATGTATCATTCTGATATCAAATTGAGGTGGTTAAGATTGGTGATGTGATAAGACAGATTCAGATGTAAATGGAGAGAAAGTGGCACAGAAATGTAGTGAGTAAAATGAGAATTTAGTGGAGCAGAGGAGAGGCAGATGAGATGAACAGACAGATAGAGAGGGAAGAGCATTATGAAAAAGAAAAGAGAGAGAGAAAGATATAAAGAGAGAGAGATAGCCCTCACTCTGGAGGAGTGGTCTTCCGTCTGCTCTAAAGGATTTCGAGCTGAATTCACCATCACACTCGAGACACACACGCACACACACCTGCTGTGGATATGCCATTCTCTGTTGTGCTGGATGGACACGCACCATGGGGCTTTCGACTTATTGGAGGACGGGACTTCAGCCAACCCCTCACCGTCGCCAAAGTGAGTGTGAGTGTGTGTGTGTGTGTGTGTGTGTAGATTTACCAGATTAGGATTTAATTCAGTTGTTATTCACTGAAAAACAAAAGTGCAATGTGTGTTGTAATGTCCACAAGTGCACCTGACTCATTTATAGAAATAGCATCTTACATCACCAATATAGATATAAAAAATACACTTAATCAGACAGCAGACATGACAGTTGAATCACTGATCTGTTTTAGGAAGTGCGTTCATATGGCCTATATGAATTACTTTTCTCATTGATTGTGTATTTATGTAGATAAGTTATACAAATATAAAAAATTTTAATAAATGTAAAAATATATTCGGAATATTTGAAAAAATAATTCTGACCTATTTTAGGTGTCATTAAGAGAAAAATGCCAGTTTTGCTCATATCAGATCCGGTGACATGTTTCCTCTGAATAGATAGTGCACATGTAAACAAATATTAGAATTGCAGTTGGGTACCATACACTAAACAGTACTTCCAAAATCTGCAACTGGATTGGATTCATTCAGGTTTACAAAATTTAAACATGACTGATACTAGGATTCAGATCTTTTTGATTGGCAGGTACACGTCCATTAGTGACAAGGAAAGTCCGTGCCCCTACGACCAAGTCATCTGCTCCTGTGGGGAACTTGCACAAGCTACCAATGTGTGATAAGTGTGGTAACGGCATAATGTAAGTCAGGCCACTGGAAGTTCATTTTTATTCAGGAATTAAGAACGTTAAATTTATCTCTATGGATATCTCTGATTGGTTCTGTCTGTCTGTTTTCTCAGTGGGACGGTTGTGAAGGTTCAGGATCTATTTTCAAACAAACTGTTGTTGAAAACAAAACGCCTTTTCGTGAAACCATAGTTGCATACAATGCTAATATAGTATGATCTAGCATTTTGTCAACACATGCTTCAGAGAGAATTACTTACTGTAACGAACAGCAAGAACTATATGCTCATTTATTTTAATCTTATGTAGTTAATGAAGTGTGTTTTGATTTCCCCAGGTTCATTCAGAAGAGTGCGACGTTATATTTCGATTGAAAGGAATCTTGGAGTTTGCTTGCCAGCTCGACAACCCAAATGGTAAAGCTCAAATTATAAAAGAATGAGCTTGATTTGTAAAACTTCGAATTTTTTTAATTAACTTTCTTTTATGAAAGCATATACGCTGGTTATGAAAGGAGAAAAAGAGTCTCTGTGTTCCCTTCTTGCAGGTGCACAAAGTCAAGGCACGATATCAAAAAGTTTCCAGGGTCTCCAATACAAAGTATCATCCAAAAATATAGTTTTAACTGTCTGTAACAGTCCAGTATTAATATGGCCTAACACTGGTTTCCAGTCAAACGTGGAAAGCTTGACAAAAGCATCATCATGTGGAGATATTCTGCAGTATATAGAGTATGTATTCTTATGCCTTTCATATCTTTAATGTTTGTATATGGTAAATTAGAGTATTATGCAGTTTGCACAGTAAGGATGTTAACAAAGTATAATACTTTATTGTTGCTGTTCACAGGTTAGATGATAGTGGGACCAAGAAGTCATCAAAAAAGAAAGATAAGAAAAAATCTGGACCTGTGAGAGTCTTTCTCTAGAGTATTTGAAAGGCAGTAACCGTTAACAGTCACTCTAACAGTAACTCTCTGCTGTCCATCTTTATCTAGACTGTAGTGAATATGAAGCTGTTGTTTGAGGTCACAGAACCTGCTGGGAATGAAGCTCCTAGTCTCATCAGAGTGAGCACACAGCAGCATTGTGTGAAGATGCCACTGCCTTTAGACTGTGTTCTGTCTGTGACCACTGATGAGAGCCTGGCAACGTGAGTGCATTTAAAAAAAAAAATTTGGCTCAGGTTCTCTTAAAATCATAAGGTTTGTAAGGAAGTGTTTTTACTGCTATGATTTTAATGCTAATTTCAGAGTTGTGAAGTACAGCAGAATCATTTGTTAGTGTGTGTGTGTGTGTGTGTGTGTGTGTGTGTGTGTGTGTGATTGTTCAGTGTGTGTACAGGGCTGGTGGAGGCATTAAATAAGCAGTTGGCAGACATGGAAGAGGTGGTGCTACGATACAGGAAGGGCTCCTCTTTCCTGGTGCCACAGCCATTTCACTTTCAACTGCCTGAACCAGCTGGGTTCACAACTGTAATCTACCCTGCAGGAGTGCCAGACAGCCAGCTACAGGATGCCAGAGAGGCAAGACATGAGCACATGTACTACGTTCAAAGGTTTAGCACAGGGGTGTTCAAACTCAGTGCTGGAGGGCCGGTGTCCTGCAGAGTTTAGATACAACCCTAATAACACACACCTGAACCAGCTAATCAATGTCTTACTAGGGCTGTGTATTGGTAAGAATCTGGCGATACAATACATATCACGATACAGGGGTTGCGATACTATAAGCAAGGTGATATATTGGGATATTTCTTATTTTAGGAATAGGATATAATTTTAGGAAAGCTGTCATTAAGAACAGACCACCATATGCAAACCTTAGAAATAAATACATTATTATAAATTATTTAAACAGAACACAGTGGGATCTGCATTTGCAGTCAGTCCCTGTAACATTCAACGGTACTAAACCCCTTTTTGTGCAGTACGAGTAAAGGGGGAAAAATTAAAGTGATTGCAGGATTCTTAAGTTAAATGTATAATAGGCCTATGTATAAAATGTATTTGATAGAAAGGCCATATATTTTCAGATCCTGCTTTAAAAGTTCACAGTTAAGTTTACAAAACATACAATGCCATAACATTTTGATCTGAACAAAAGAATTACATCTGCTTAATATCAATGAAAAATAAAGTGCTTGCAGGATTCCTAAAGAAAGCAAAACAAATGTAAAACAATATAATAAATACAGATGTTGAACATTCTCAGAACCTTTCAACTTGGATTTCACCCAAATGATGCCACACTTCAGCTTTGTACACCGAAACGGGAGCTGGAACAATTCTTTCGTCCTCCATTACTAGCAGCGATCTATATTAACGCTAACATTAGTGCCGTGCCCTTGTGCTAGTATTTCCTGTCAATGTTTAAGTTCAGAGATGAAGACCGCTATAGTGGTCGGGATATAAACTCAAAACAACTGCCATGAATCTTTTTTTTTTTTTTTAATATCAATATTTTGTTTTTGAGAATCAATACTGTATCACCAAACAAAATATTGCAATACTTGCGTGTATCTATTTTTTTACACCCCTATGTCTTACTAGGCATACTTGAAACTTCCAGGCAGGTGTGTTGAGGCAAGTTGGAGCTAAACTCTGCAGAACACCGGCCCTCCAGGACCGAGTTTAGACACTCCTGGTTTAGCGTCAGTAAGAATAATAATAATATAAATATATATATATATATATATATAGTTTGTATTTAGCAAGTATGCATGAAATTAAAAAATCTATAATATTTTAATAATAATAAATTAAAGTAATAAAGTTTTTATACTTTCTGTTCATCAAAGAACCCTGAAAAAATGTAATAGTTTTCACAAAAATATTAAACGGCACAACTGTTTTCAGCGTTGATAACAATAATAATTAATGTTTCTTGAGCACCAAATAACCATATTAGTATGATTTTTGAAGGATCTTGTGACACTGAAGACTGAAGTCATGGCTGCTGAAAATTCAGCTTTGTCATCACAGGAATACAATACATTATAAACTTTCCTAAAAAAGAAAACATTTACTTTAAGTTGTAATAATTTTTCACTTTATTACTGTTTTTACTTGTATTTTTGTTCAAAAAATTCAGCCTTGGTGAGCATAAGAGGCCGGGACCCATCTATTCAAAAAAATTAACTTGCTGACCTCAGACTTTTGAACAATATCTTAATCCTAAGAATTGCTATTTATTAGTGACTCACATGAGTGCTCTCTAAACCAGGTAAACTTCCTTTGTGTGTAGGATCTGCACAAGAGGTTTAAGTTGCCAAGTGACAGGCCATACCTGAGACGTGCCAATGCCTTTCATTTCCCTGATGCAGCCTATAAAGACGGTTACCTCCGCAATCCCCACATACACCTGAACCCACCCAACATTGAGGATGCTAAGGTGAGACCGTGCTTTAATGGAATAGTTCACCCACAAATGAAATTCAGTTGTTCCAAATCTGTTATCTTATTGTTACTATTTATTTCTTATTTTTTATCTGTAGAACACAAAAGGATAATATTAAAAAGTTCACACTGCTCTTTTTTTATACAGAGACAGTTCAAGTTACAAAAAATACGCCAGTATACATAATGTTCCATACTACTTTTTTAAAGGGGTCATATGATGCTTTTTTAAAGATCATTATTTGGTGTAACAGAATATGTTGACATGCTTTAATATTAAAAAAACACATTATTTTTCAAATACTGTACATTATTGTAGGTCCTCTATGCCCCGCCTCTCTCAAACGCTTCGTTTTCTACAAAGTCCCTCCTTCCGACAAGCGCAGTCTGCTCTGATTGGCCAGCTGACCCAGTGCATTGTGATTAACCGAACACCGCAAGCACTCGTCGGAAATGTAATGCCCCTTACCATAATCGCGAGCTTCATCTTTCAAAATGAATGTAAAGACATTCAACACTAACTGCGGTTACTGAAACCACGCCTTCTTTCTTTGCGTGAACATTTGGGCGGCATTATGCAAATATTTCCACATAGTGAGGTAGATATGTGGGGGCGTGTTAGAATGAGCCGTTTTAGGGGGGCGTGGCAGAGTCTTAACTTTGATAAAGAATATCTCTATGGTTTTGAGACTTTAGTCTTTGCAACTTCAGGGATCTTATCTATGCACAATCAGCTTGTAACACTCCAAAGAGAAAGGAAAACTTGAAATCGCATCATATGACCCCTTTAAATGATGGTCAAAAACTTTTAAAGATAAATGATGATGATCAGAATCAGATCTTCCCAATGGCACATTTGGTTTGTTACTTTAAAGAATGACATAATTGATGATAAATGCCAAAGAAAATTGCATGGGTGGTGAGCAAATGATAGCAACATTTTCATTTATTGGTGAACTACCCATTTTAAAGGTGGTTTAATATGTTCATGAGCACTTTTTAAAGAGCAAAATCTCTTGATGCCAAAAGTAAAGTTTAACCATTAACACTCTTGTCTTTGTCTTGTTTTTCTCTCTGTAGCTGTATCTGGTGCAGGGTGTGTACAGTTATCATCACTACATGCAGGATCGTGTGGATGATGATGGCTGGGGATGTGCATATCGTTCCCTTCAGACTATCTGCTCCTGGTTTCAGCAGCAAGGATATGTGGAGACAGCTGTGCCCACACACACGCAGATCCAACAGGTAAACAAAATTGTCACTCAATGGGATGTGCTTTCTTTTTATATGTATTTAAGAGGAACATTTGTTACTTTTTCAGGCTCTTGTGGATGTTGGGGATAAAGAGCCACGATTTGTGGGTTCACGTCAGTGGATTGGCTCCATCGAAGTTCAGGCTGTCCTTAACCAGCTGCTGGGGGTCACGTCAAAGATCATGTTTGTCAGGTATACAAAGTGTTTAATGTGTTTGTTTATTGTTTAGGGTGGTAATACGTTTTTCCTCTTTAATGGCCACAACAGATCATATTGGAGTAGATTCTGAAAACTGGACACCTTTTTTCTTCCATATACCACTGCACACAAGAGGCTATGAATTTTGGTTAAAGGCTGGAATACACTACTCATATGTTAAACACATTTTAAAACACTAGGCATCATTCACTTGCCTTCTTTGTAAATTATTACAACTCTGGGCATCATACACTAAACAACGAAACAAGGATCACACAGTACCAGACACACACAAAATATGTGGTCTAAAATGAGCTCAAAATATTAAACATATTTGATATCCTTGACTGCATGCCTAAGCTGAGAATCTGTGAAATCTGTCAACTTGCTCCAAATCAGATATCAGGGCAAAAATCTAGGCAAGCCCTGTAGGGTATACCAGCTTGAAGTTGAACTAAAGCTGGTGCAAGCCTATGCTAACATAGATTTACAATAAAAGTTTCTGAATGGTTTCAATTATAAAAATGATTGTCTTTCTGTTAAAGTCAGGGATCAGAGCTGACAACCAAGGGCAGAGAGCTGGCCAACCACTTTCTGACCGAAGGAACTCCTGTCATGATTGGTGCGTTAACATTGTTTAGCGCCTTCCTACAACTTGTGATTGGATAGGAGCAAGGTTCTCCCCCACCTTCCCAAAAAAAAAAAAAAAAGATCATAATCAACATCTGATCTAACATACTTGTATCTTATACACTGCTGTTCAAAACTTTGAGGTTTGCTGTTCTTTTCTAACTTTTCTATTATTTTCTGAAGAAATACTGAAAAAAAAATTTTTTTCGACATTGTAATAAGCAGTGGTTGTTGGTCACCAAATTCAACATATTAGAAAGATCATGTGACAATGAAGATGGGAGTAATGACTGCTGAAAAATCAGCTTTGCCATCACAAGAATAAATTACATTATAAAATATATTTATGGAAATATTTCACAGTATTTCTGCTTTCACTGTATTTTTGAGCAAATAAATGTAACCTTGTTGAGCATGAAAGACTTCTTTCAAAAACAACCTCATACTTTTGTAGTCTAGGTAGCTTGTTTTTTATGCATTTTTTTTGTTTTGCTATTTTTAAGATGTAAATGGTAATTGAAAAATAAAGCCAATATTTTTCTCGCCAGGTGGCGGAGTACTTGCACACACCATTTTAGGCGTAGCATGGAGTGAGAACACTGGACAAATACGCTTTCTTATCTTGGACCCTCACTATACTGGTGGAGAGGACCTGCAGACCATCACTGACAAAGTACATTTGACAACACTACTCTAGTCAGACCATTTGATTTTAATTAAAAAATGAATAAATATAAAATGGTTATATTCTGAACAAGCTACTTTAATAATAAACAAACTACTACAACAATAATCTTTGTTATTTCATTATACCCAGACACACATGGGATTTAAAGTGTAACATGGTTTAAAACATCACTTACTTGTCCAGAATTAACAACTCATTTGTTAATGATGTTTGTATATTTTTCAGGGCTGGTGTGGATGGAAGGGGCCAGAGTTCTGGGATCAAAATGCTTATTACAACCTCTGCCTTCCCCAGAGACCCAAGACCATCTGAGTCACGTGCATGACACTTATCCACTTTTATTCATACTCTAAGTTCATGGATACACAGGAAGTCTCATGTGGAAATGCAAACCGACATGTCACAAAAAAGTGATTTATTACTCATTGTCCTTACAATGTTTTAAATGTCCATGCCTATTGTAGCATCCGTTTTCAGTCACGCTAAAGGTTACATTAATTTCAGAAACCTCTCACATGATTTTCAGTCAGGCTGCAAACGGATGATATTAATGATGACATATCCTCGAGACTTTTACCAGTTCATCATACATTAAATTCACAAGATATCTTTGAACCGTCTACACAAGATAAGGCTTCCTGCAAATCAATAAAAAGAAACGGCAGCTAAAATATCTTCCTAAAACGGCAAATGTTTCCTTAGTCATTGACTATTGCAAAGTCTCTGACTTTGTGAGGGTCTCTAACTTTTCTCAGAGACCTTTGGGGAGACTTGAACCTCTGTTTAACTAATCTTGCCTTATTAAGAACGTCTTGATTAGCCAAGCTTGGCAGCAAGTCAGCTCTCTTCTCTTTTGCAGCCACATATTTATACACTGTCATAAAACTCTGAAAGCATTTCAGTGCCATCAGGGTTTTTATATGATTGCTTCACAACACACATGTGATCCAAGTTAAATTTCCAGTGAGAAACCCACAAGTCTCCCCCAAAGAAAATTCTCTGCTTTTTCCTTGATTCCTGTCTGCTCTGTGTTGGCAGGTATACAGTATGTATGGAGCATGGCTCTGAACCGTTCTGGAGTACTAGTGTCAGTCATTACTACTGTACTTAAGACTCCAAATCACTGACCCCAGAACGGTGTCAATTTGTCTTGACTGCTGAGGCTACAGTATAGGCTCAATACCAAATGTCCACCGGTAATTCAGACTGTTGATGACATACTGATACTTCTGTTTACCATTCACACCAGTAATGGTTAAACAGCCTATATGTTACTTCAAATTCTCTCTCTCTCTGAGAACATTCATCACCAGTCCCGTGCTTTCTTTCCATCTTGAGCGCTGGAGCATTCGCAGCCTCTCTTCTGCCCTGCGAGAGTGCTCCTCAGTATGTGCCGTTCAGTGAGGGATGATAAAGAAGCGTTCTTTAAGTCTTGTGTTCTGCGATGCATGTTCAAAAACCTCCCGCACTCCTCAAACCCACAAGACCATGCAATATCTTCGGCTGTCTGTCCACCGTTGTTGCAAATGCTGAGTGGAAAATGGAATAGTTAATTAGAGAAGTGTTCATATTCATAAGATGGTTATAGTTGTTGAGGATGATGTTTGCTTTAACAGGTAACCACAGGGGCATTCCTGTTATGTTTGAGCTCTTTTGAAAATTAATATGCCTATGTATGTCTATCTAATCTCAATAATTTTATTAACTCTGCCTTTGGATTGATTATATAAACAATGGTAATAAAATTAACAGCTGAAGATAGGTATTTTTCAGTAAAGAAATTGGAACATTTTAATAATCTAAAGAACCTTTTGTGGAATGAAAAGGTTCCATGGATGGGCAGCACCGGTTTGCAGCAGCCAAAGCAAGCAGTAAGCCTGCCCTCCGCATGCCGCAAGATGCGCAGGAGATTGTCCGGAACCATTCAAACCTCCATTCACCGCAAACCCGTTTTCAAAAAGGTTACTCCAGCTGAAGGTATATGTAATGAAACAGAAACACCATTTGAACCTTAAGACTTGTCGTTGTCTAATAAAAGTGTTAAAGCGCGTTCTGAGTTTTAAAATTGACAAATATAATGACTTTCGTTTTTTAAATGCTTGAAACTGATTTTTTTTTACTACTTAGTTAAACGTGATGCTTTCTTTTCATGCCCATAATAGTATCAATTAATTACATTGACTCACCGACTCTGTCTCAAGCAAAAACATAGCTGGTGTCTGGATAATTTCACAAAGAATATGCCGTATAAAAGTGTAACTGGGCGTGACTCAGTCACTCCGCTGTTGATCAGAAGTGTCCTGCAATCAAACAAGCACACAGACCCATGTAGTACAATGGAAAAGTGCAAATGCTGTTTAGACCACGTGGTTCTTTGATACCGACCAATCATGATCAAGAGTGAGCGGTCATTATCACGTGACTCTGCATCAATCCTCCTACTAGCTTGCGAACAAGCTGTGCAGTTCCACACGTACGCACTTTGTTCATTTGAGATGCTCTGCTTTAATAAGTAGATTTAATAAAAAAACAGTTTACGTTATGGTCTTCCGAAAATTGTACTTGTCTTACTTGAGAAAAAAAAAATCGGACTGGTAATTTGAAGTTGAAATGGGTTGGTAAAAGCCAAATTACACTAATGTTTTTGTTGGATTGTGTTGTTGTTTCTTCCTTCATGCTTATGAGTTTATGCTTATTTTGCATCTACTGACTTCTCAAATTATGTTAACACTCTGTTCTTTGCTGCAGAATTATCTGTCACAAATTACGTTAAACAAAACTGAAAAGGCAAAAAAAATGGTTTTATGATGAATGTATTTATGTTAATAAATATTGCACAGCTCTGCATTGTCCTTTACTTGGTCATGTACAAGTGCAAATAGCCTATTTTACAATAGCTTATTATACATTTATTTTAGAAGCAGAGGGTGGCATCTGAATAGGGATGGTGGATTTACAAGCCTGGCCTTTGCCTGGTGTGAGGATGATGGATCTGCCATGCCACTCGTGCCAAGCAAACATGAAAGAGGCTTTGAGGGAATGTTATGTGCTGCACGCCCACAATCTAGCAGAATGCCAGCCTTTAGGAATGAGTTGGCAGCAGTGTCAATAAACATGTACAGTGGTCACAGTTAATCCTTGTTTAACCGCTTGAGTGATATTACAAAGAAAATTATAAAAATGCAGCTCACCTGGTTAGAGATGGTTGATTAGTCACTGACATAAACAAATAAATGAATGCATCACATGCAATTTAGTCCAAAACAATATTTATACACTAAAAATTAGACATTAAAGATTTAAATTGACTTGCATTTAATAGCATTTAAATATTCTTAACGTTCTCTTCTTTTTAAAGTATTGATATTAATGTAATAATGTTGTTAAGGCATTTGTTATTCATTCATTCATGCATACATGGGACATCTATGGCAAGGGTTTTCAAACTGGGGTCATCAGCCATTACTCCCCTCTTCAGTGTCACATCAGTGTTGGAAACAGTTGTGCCTCTTAATATTTTTTTTTTCGGAAGCTGTGATTCTTTTTTTCTGGATTATTTGAATAAAAGGTTAAAAAGAACGACATGTATTCCAAATAGAAATATGTTCTAACAATATGTCTTCACTATCAATTTTGTATCAATTTAACACATCCTTGCTGATTAATAAAAGTATTAATTTCTTTCTCATAAAAGATTGAAAATAATTACACAACCCAAACTTTTGAACAGAAGTGAACTTGCTATTCATCAAAGAATCCCGAAAAAAAAAACATTACAGGTTTCCTACATAAATAAAAAATGAATCAGCACAACTTTCTTTTATTCAACATTATATGGGAGTGGATGCATTACACATCTATCACAGCTTCATTAGTTGTAACAAAATAGCAGTGCAAGAAACCATGAAAACCTTAAAAATAATAATAAATAATTTGCTCGCATTGCAATATATCAGACCAGTATTAATTAAGCAGAGAAGAAGAAAAGAACTGAAGTGAAATTACACACAGCAGACTGCCCTGTCCTACTCCTACACTCTTAAAAATAAAGGTGCTTCAAAAGGTTCTTCAAGCGATGCCATAGAAGAACCATTCAGTCAAAGGTTCTTTAAAGAACCATCTCTTTCTTAGCTTTTTATAATCTGAAGAACCTTCTTTCACCACAAAGAATCTTTTGTGAAACAGAAAGGTTCTTCAGATGTTAAAGGTTCTTTATGGAACCATTTAGACAAAAAGGTTCTTCTATGGCATCGTGAAGCACCTTTATTTTTAAGAGTGTATGGGAAAATGTACTCTTTGGTTTTACTGACTATCCTGACCAAGGGGAACAGTACTTTTACTTAATTAATTTACTTATTCTATTGACCAAATTTCACATTCATAAGTGTAAATTTACCAATAAAAACCCCAATTTTATGGTTTTGTTGACTGAAATATTTATATATATTGACAGTATCAGAGACTCTGTGAATAAGAAAGCTGTAAGAACTTTGAAAGTTTGTGAACTTTACAATATATTTATTTGATTTTATATATACGTACAAGTGTATGTATGTATGTATATCTTGTATTTTTGTTTTGAAGTTTTATATTTTCCTCTCCCTGGCAATTGTTCTTTTGTTTGTTGTAATTTGTCCTTCTGTCTTTTTCTTTTCTTATTTTAATGTTGATTTATTGTGTGTTATTGTTCCTTGAATAAAAAATAAATAAATAAATAAAAAGACTGCCCTGTCCTTGCGGCGCGACACTATTTGCGGAAATGACGTCGCCTAGTTACAGTAGCTAACGAACTTCTGAGCAGCGAGGTGGACAGTTGAAAGAGCCTGTTTTAGCTCTTATCTTCAAGCTCTGTCTTTCTGGACAGCATTTGGAGATATACAGAGAAACACAATGAAGTACTTCAGCTTTGTGTTTTGGAGATTTAGCCTGACAGTGTCGCGGTCGCTCATGTTTTGATGTGAATGTTTAAAGGTAGGCGCTGCTAACTAACGTTAACGTTAGCTGTATGACTTCGCGTTGGCGTGCGTGAGTTTTGTATTTGGACACAAGTTTATGGTCTAATTTGTAATTAAATAAAATATGCACATTAAACGTAGCAGAGCTTGCCAGTCTGTTGAACGTGAATTTCTGTGGCAGCGTTGCTAAACTTCATGTTACAGCTTTTGTCATAGAAACATGTCCCCTGTGTGTGTGTGTGTGTGTGTGTGTGTGTGTGTGTGTGTATATATTATGAGCATGTTCAGATACACTTCTCTCACCTCTGCTTTTTAAGTGTTAATTGAGCTTTTCCCCGTTAGTAAATATTGTCATATTTCTACTAAATCGGCTATCGGTCCCTTAATATTGGGTGTACTTTTATTTGCTTGTTTATGGGATTGTGTTATGTCTGGCAATGTGTGAACCCTTGGCTTTTTTGTGTTCTGCAATCTATGTTCTGTATTCACTTAATGCTTAAATAAAAATAAGTAAAACTATTGGGTGTACTGATAAATGATAAAATCATCCAAAAATTAATTTGTCAATGTCATTATTGTTAATAATGATTACAAGAAGTGTCAATTGTTGTTAAATAATAATAATACATGTGTTAATAATGTGTTGATTGTTGGCTAATGATTCACTTAAATGATTAGACAACAAGTAAATCAATAAGCAGAAATAAAACAATAGTTAAAAGCAGTCAATTTTGCATTAATCATTATTTTAGTGGTCATTAAAAATGATTAATCTCTGGAACATTGTTTGTCAACCTTTTTGACAACATGTTGTCCACAACAATATTTACTGGACAAGAATTAATGTTTAGAAAAAAAGATCTTAGCATAGCTAGGAAAAAAAGTATAAAATAATTATTTTAAATATATAAAAATGTTTTTTCTCGGCAGTTGAGGAGGTGAATTAAAAATAACAAATATAGTGATTCATAAACTTTTATTTTTCTTCTTTGGCTTTTTATTTTATTTTACGTTATCTTGAGGCCTTAGTTTGGTGAGAGCCCATTGTTGGCCCCTGGTTAAGAACCACTACTCTAGAAAATATAGAAGTTGTTCAGACAATTCATTTCTCCACTTGCGTGAAGCATTATCAGAGTTGTTGGTAGTAATTTTATTTATTTATTTTCACTGCAACAACTTTTTCTTTTTCCATTCAGGTTCCATTGAATGAGGGCATATTTGGAAGACACACTTCAGAAATGTACAGCCCCAAAGAGCTAGAGGGAGAAGTGGACCACTCGTTCTTTGACAGTGACTGTGAAGCTAGTGAACTTGGTTCTCAGGATGGGCAGCTCAGTAAACAGAAGACGGAAAGACAAGATGAGAAGACCGGTAAAGAAACCCATGTTTCAGTGGATCAGATAGGAAGTGAAGCTCAAAGTGTAAGGAACGGTAAAGATGAAGCCAAACTGGAGGATGATTCAAACCGGGTCAGCAAGGGGCAGAGTGAAGAGACAAAATATGAAAGAGAGCGACAAAGTAGAGATGGATTTTTCAAAGGCTCTTCATCACGCCCAGAGACTGTGAACAACAGCCAATCAGATGAAGGATCTAGTCTGCATTCATACTCATCTGATGAGGAAAGAGAGCTGGATGATGATTTTAAACTCCGTAGAACCAATGTTAGTGTTAACAGCGACGATGATGATGATGGATACCATCGTAGTGATGATGAAAGTGAGGAGGATATGAGATCGCCAGTCACGCGATCAATGAAACATAAGGTATTGTCCCACGGAACACCTACAAAATCTGCTGGAAAATTCCACAAGCTGAGCCGTAGCTA